ACAAGCAAACCAGTACACTCGTCCATATATAATTTCATGAAGATTTCAAGAATTACTGTTCAGGGAAATAAGATGACCGATCGATTAATTACTTGGGCTTTAAGCTTATTGGGAATCGTCTCAAAAGCAAGTAGAAGGAAGCAATGTATGTATTAGAAATCTATTTCAACACATTGAACAATCGATTTCAAAGAACTGAAGAATCGATTTCAAGAATACAAAAAAAACGATTTCAAAGAATCAATTTTATAGAGACGGGAATTGCAAACCTGTTTATTAGGTTAAAACAGGAAAAATCTTACCACTCTGGAGGAGGAGCCAGGTAGGAGACCTGAAAGAACGAGGTGGGAGGCTGAAGGAAGGAAGCCTTGGCAAGCGAAAGAGAAGGGCATACGAGGGAGAAGATGATTTCTGTCTCGGTCAGGCTTTATTTTTTACAGGTCTCAGTCAGCCGTTCATTGGCCATTTACTGACCGAGTAAGAGCTCTAATATTGGTATCAAACAGCAAGACTAGGACCGAGTCAGATAAAACCTCTGACCGGACCTGGTCAGAATGAAATCAAACAAGGCCTTAGTCGGAGTTAATCAGTAAGGTGCTCGAGCAATTGGTGATGTCTCATAACCAAATCCCAGAGTCCGGAAAGACCTTGGGATACATTACACTTCTATTTTCTCACGTCAATAACATAAGCCTTTATTTTCTCACGTCAATAACATAAACCACGTATAAATAAACAAGATACAAAATGAAAAATGAAATAGACCAAATGTGTATAAAAATCTGATCACACAAATAATATTGATTTTTTTATTTCCCTTATTAGTTCTTTAAAACACAAATAAAATCAAGAAAATAAAATTCACAAATAAAACTGTTCTTTATACAACTTCAGAAATAAATTTAAGCAAAAAAACACACACAAACACACACACAAAACTTTCAAAAAACATTATTCTCCAAATCTTTGAGTCCATGGTCAGCCTCTTTGACCTTTTCATCTTCATCTGCTCCAAACACAGGAGTCTCCAGCTTCGGAGGACTCTGAAACAATCATACAAATTAAATGTTTATAACATTCAATTAATCCGATTTTTTTCAATCACTAGATCATTCGTTTTATACAATCGAGTTTCTTAAATTGTCATTTCTAGAACAATAACATTATATAAATCTAGAAAACCAGTTAGGTTTACCTGGCAACGAACTAAAGCCCAGTTAATACCCCGAAAGAAAGGGTGACGTTTCACTTCGCTTGCACCTTCATGTGAACCCAATCGATTCTTTGGATCTCTATGCAATAATCTATAAATCAACTGTTTAGCTTGAAGGCTTACCTGGATTACATTCAAATTCTTTTCAGTTGCAAGAATGATATTATGTTTGATAATTAATAGTTAAACTTGAAATCTGATTACTAAAAACTGATTGAGCATGCATGTTTTGGAAAACGCACCGGGATGCTACCAGGAAACTTGAGATCTTTATGAAGAACATTGGCGAATGTTCTTTGCCTCGTCTTTCCTCTAAACGGCGTGTACCCATAAAACATTTCATATAGAAGAATACCTACAAAGAACAACCATAAATAATCTAAAACTAGTAATATCTCTAAAGATAAATCGATAGATAAGTTAAAAAAATTACCAAGAGCCCACCAATCCACTGCACTAGAATGTCCAGCTCCACTTATAATTTCCTGAAACATTGCAAAAAAACACCTTATATTATCTGAATATCAAATTGTAG